TAATAATTTAACTATTGGAAACTAAATAAAATAAATAAAAATAAAATATACCTAACCTTTGGTATTATATATGTTACAGTTAAAGTGTTTATGAAATAACTAGATAATTTATAAAATAACTAAAGCTTGTAGGTAATGTATATAATTTATACTTTAACTAGTTATTTTATACATTCCCTGGCATCACTTCGTTAATGTGTCAAATTGTAAATAACAAAATATCATGACAAATAAATATAGTTCTAACATTTCAACAATTTAATATAACACATTAAATCAGATAAGATTATCGGTGATCGCAATGTACGTTCATCGTGTTATTACGGTAGGTCAATTATATCGTATAGCTAAGCTAAATTAGCTTTAATATTGTAATTATAAAAATAATTAAATGTTTTAAGGAGAGGAAAAAAGCTAAAGAAAATTTGGAAAAACAGGCAAAAAGAATGAAAGATTTATCAAATACTAAATTTGCGGTTGTTAATATATTGGTTCTACAGTGCGTATCAAAATTCCCGATGTTGATAGAGGAAAGGGTGATCCTCGTTCAATTATTGCAGTTGTTTTAAAATTAACTGACGATGGGTTTTATCAACTGGGATGCAATGATGGCAAGAAAAATTTAAATAATACAAGTCATTTTTTTTTTTTATTTATTTGATACCTACCTTAATCATTATATAATTACAGTAGTATTAAAACAACTATACTCTCGATCCCAGTTCACAGTATGTTCGGAAAATTTGTTAGCTGTAGAAGCGTTCCAAATGAAAGTATTACATTAAGATCTGCGGCAACTGCGCAGTCACTGGGAACTGGTCAGGGTTTTTTTAAATGCACTTGTACCAAAAAATGTGACACAAAGCGATGTGTTTGTAGAAAAAAAGAGGTGTTGTGCAACTCTAAATGCCATAATAGTCTTACATGTTACATGTACAAATAAATAAATAATATAACTATAATTAATTCATAATTCAGTAAAATAAAATATTTTAATATATATTTTAAATTTTAATGTATTTTATACTTTAACGGATATCAAACTGAAATTGTACAGAATAACTAGATATTCTATGAAATAACTAGTTAAAGTACAATTTTCATGTATTATTTCATACTTTAACTAATATTCGTAGGTAGTTCATGAACTACCTAGTTATTTCATAAAATAACGGAATTCAACACTTTAGCTGTAACATATACATTTAAAAAATGGCATTCAAGTATTCAACATTTTTATATTGGCATAAAAACATACAAAAATGTTTAAATGATACAAATATACAATATTATACATATTATATACTTTAGTAATACGTCCACACCCCATGTTAAAATACCTTTGAAGTTACTTTATTTTAATATTATATAACATAATATTTTTTCTCAACCAGTTTCCCACAGTACCTAATGTACATTGTACATATTATAACTATACATATATCTACCTATTAATAAAATGAAAAGTATTTTTATTAATACAAATTACAAATTACAACATTTAGGTATTTATATTTATATATGTCTGTGCTACGTGCCTACATCAAGCCTACAGGCTACAACACGTACACGTAAATACGTCGTTACGGAGGCACGGCGCCGATAATTCGATATCGACGAGGGCGCACAGTTGAACAGTGGCAGCGAACGGCGTTAGGCGATCGCGGCGGGCGGTAAGCGGCAAAGGGACCGCGAAGTCAAGCGACCGCGGTTCGACGGTTGACGGAGCGAAAACCGCGTTTGTAGTACCAGGGTCTCATGCGGAAGGAGCAGTTCTTTGCTTCGCGGTCGTCACTGGCCACTGTCTCGTTCGCGTGTCTCGGCGGGGCGGCATACCACATGCGTTCCTAGTATATTAGGGCTAATAGTACGTTATTTATATTTATATTTTATATTCATTTACATTTAGCATTTTTTTTAAGTTTTAAGATAATTTGTCAATTATTATCAATTAAATAGAACCATTTATTTTTTGCATATTTTTGCATATAATGAACATAATGTACAACACGTAGTTGCGTATTTTATAGATTTTTGAGAATCTTGTTAATTTTGATGATTTTTAAATTTTTATAATAATATTATTGTTAATTTCAAATGCTATTTATTTAAGAGGATGCCCTCGCCACACCATGCCGTGTTGTCTCCGTCTTACAAACGCGCAACATACCAAATTTACGCTCAGAAATTCAAGTTTTATGCCGTTAGCTTAAAAATTAGAGTGAATCGACGTCGACCTATTATGAAACTTGATGGTAAGAACATTATCTGTGTTTGTATGTGGGTCTCAATTTTTTAGCAAGTTATGCGTGTATAATATAAAGTAAATTAAAATCGCTCATAAAGTCATAACTCAGTTTTTAAGTGAAAACTAAGTACGAAAGCATGTTTTTAAGGCCAAATTTTGTTGCCAGATATTTGTTGTTAAGATATATTATCTTAAATCGTGGTTTTTGATAAACCACGATTATATATAGATTCGGCCTCCGTATACCTTTGCCGTAATTAAATTTTTTTTATTCTTATTATATTTTAATATAATAATTATTATGGTTACATACTTACATCTTATATTCAATATTCATATTATGATTAATGACCTACATGCATGACGCTTAAAATAAAATGTAAATAAAACCAAATACAACCTTTCGTGAAATATTGTTTTCGTAGAATAGCCTGGTTGTTGCATAGATCCTAGCCTGCATTACCCTTGCAGCGATGAACTCAGAGGCTTAAAAAAATAGTAGGTGTGTGTAATGGGTGGCTCGTGCGGGAAGGCAATTTCAGTCTTGGGCCCTTGCCACACAATATACTTTATCAATATTATTACACTAAACCAGTGATGCCCAACCTTTTTTCCTCGGCGGGCCACTTTGGTAAACATTTGTAATCTAGCGGGCCACCAAATATAAAAGTACTCATATTCTCAATCTTAATATAATTTAGTTACACATCGTAGGTTGCAATATAATATGGAGGTACATGTTGGACTGGTTTTCTTATCTTTTTTATTGAGTATAGCACAGATTACAAATTGAGGTACACGTTGTAGGTACGCATTAACTTGATCAGTACGCTCTTTATAGTGCACGGGTGATATCGATTTTAAATCATAAAATTTCTATTTCAGTCATTTTGAGAACTGCCAAATATTTAAGAATAACACAAAATCATTATGTTCAACAAATCGATTTGTATGTATGTTAAACAAATTGCAAACCGATATTTCATCTCGATTTTCAGATGTTAAATTACACGAAAAATCGTTGCGTTTATTTGAAAATCCATTCAATATTGATGAAATTGATGTCGATACTTCTTTTCAACTTGAACTTATCGAGTTAAAAACAAATTCATTTTACTATGATGAATTTCAAACAATGAAAAAAAATGATATTTTAAAATTTTATTCAACGCTTTCACACGAAGATTTCCCTGCTTTGAGAGACATTATGATGAAAATGGCAACTGTATTTGGCTCGACGTATATATGTGAACAAATATTTTCACGGATGAAACAAACAAAATCAGTTCATAGATCGCGACTTACGGATGAACACCTTCATTCAATTTTGAGGATTGGAACAACTAAATTCCAACCAGATTTTTCATTATTAGTCAAAGAAACAAAAGTTCAAATTTCACATTAAAAACATTTTTATATACTTTTTATTTTTATTTTTATTATTGTATTTTTTATTTAGAAATTAATTAAAATCGTATTTTGTAATAATTTTACTTTTTTTGGAATATTTTGTTTTATTTTAAAAATTTGTAACGGGCCACATGGAATACCTTGGCGGGCCACATGTGGCCCGCGGGCCGCGGGTTGGGCATGACTGCACTAAACTATTGGGCCATGGCCCACAATAAAGGCTCAATAAGGGCCCACAATAATTCTTAAACCACAAAATTGTCAATATTCATTAAAAGTAAAATTTATATTAAAAAAGTTATCAACAGGTATGTGCCAAAACCTAAGTTAGAACAAAAAAATATTTTACAACATTTTTTCTATCGACGTATAGATCGCCGTTCAAATAAATAGTACAGCGTAGTTTGAGGCGTAAAAATAAGCTCCTTCTTTTTAAAAATCTAAGTAACATAATACACTTAGTAGTTTAGTATAGGCCGATGTGCAAACACCAACCATTCTGTATAATTTACAATCATGGGATACTGGGAATTGGGATAGTCGATAGAGCAAAATCATTGTGACAATGTGACATGCGTTATTGCGGTGGCGGTACATGGACCCACGAACCGGACACAAAAGAATTTTACCGCCACCCTTGGTATATTATCTTTTCTATGGTGGGAGTGGGGGGGCATAGGCTGTATTGAGTATATAGTAATACAACATACAGTAACAGTATACATCATAATTCATAATCCCCATATTTTGGAGAATTCGCTGCTATAGCCGATAAGTTCAACAATTAACAAATAACAATAACAATGCTAAAAATAAACAATAATTCGATATCAAAAACTCGTTCATCCGGTTGGTCGTTCACTTCCACTCTGCCCCAGGTCGCAGCACACAGGCCGCAGACAGTTTGCGCTCCAATATGACTAATTTACAGACTTGTCACTACAACAGTGTAACTGAATAGCGAATGCGCTCCTCAGTCGGCAGTCCTCGGAAAACTGATAGCTGCAAGCTGGAAGTTGGAACACATTTACTCGTAGTTCGTACAATACTCGACGTAGACCGCTAAGCAAACACTTGTCGCTTATAAACTCTTATTATTATTTTTAATAATTTTAAAATATAATATCGTTTAGGAGAGGTGTAGATCGTCTATAATTCTGTTTCGGTGTGTGTTGTACAACAATGATATTATTATATTTTATTATTACATGACGTGTTTTTTTTTTATAATTAAAACAAATAACAATATAATATTGTTTGTGCTGTTTAATTTTTTGCAGGTGATTTGGCACTGGTCGAATATCAAACGTTTCAATCGACTACCCCGTGACGTTTCTGAACGATGGAAAATACTACGACGCGGTCTTACGGGAAGACACCAACCCTTTCGTCGGACTTCACCACTCACGCCATGGCCCTTTTACGACAGCGGCATAATTCCTCACCGATCAGCCAAAGTCCAAAGCTCGACAGCAGCCTGAAGTTCAAAGAAATCCGGCGAATCAAACATGAAATATACGATACCTTTCCTGATGTGAGTACCTCATGATATTGAGATTTTGTCCATGATAATATTGAACGAGTCTATATTAATATTATAACCAGTGGCGTAAAAATGGGGGAGGGGGGTTTCGGGATAAATCCCCCCAGGGCCAAGAAAAAATATACAAAAATGTCTTGAGAATGTCATCATGTATATAAAATTAAGGATTTTGTAAGTTATAATGGAATCACAAAAATATTAATTTTTCGTCCGAGGAGGTAGAGATACAAATAAATGTTTATTATTTACATAAAATCTATTTTTGTATAGATATTAAATATTGTTTATCATTATTGGTAAATTGTCTCTGTGCTGCGCCCGTGTGTGTGTGTCTATTTTTGTAATGGCGTACCTGCATGATACATACGGTCTCATCGAAATATTCTTTTAATTTATAACTATCCCTTATCTTTTGTTTATTAATATATATATTATTGTAATAATATACACTATTGTCCAAATGTCCGATGTTCAGTGACCAGTGTACTCTTGACAGTGTTTAGTGTACAGTCGTTAGTCGTGACTCGTATTTCAAATTATATCAATCAAATATACTATCTGCAATTCTGCAATAGTAATCCCGGGGCTATACACGGCGTATTCCGCCGCGTTTCGAACGCCGCGTATTCAGCATCGTTTTCCGTCGAATTAAAAACGCATTGGTTTAAATCGGAGCAGCTATACACGACAGGCGTATTACGACGGAAAACGATGCGGAATACGCCGTGTATAGCCCCGGCCTAAAAGGTTAAGATAAGTCAATTTTATGATTTAATTTTTTTATACCTAGTCTTAAATATTCTTAATGCATTAATTTTTTTATTGGTCAATTAGACGACATAATGTAACCGAGTGAATATACAAGTACGTAGGTAAACCGTAAACGTATTAACAGTGTTCTAAATACTTATACGTAACACTGTAAAAGTATTTCAGTATCTGAATATTGGTCTGGTATGCAAATACTTTTTTTCTTAATATTTGAATGGTTAATGAGACATTAGTAAGTTTTATGGTTATACCTTATTACTTAGGTACCTACTTATTACAATTATTAATAATTTTTAAATGTGTATTATATCCTATATTAGTATAAAATTGACGTGTTCAAAATAAAATATTTATGATTCGATGAAATGTTTATTAAATACTAAAGTTGAATCAATAGTAATTTTGGTTTTATGATTTTATGAATTATTAAAATACATTTAGAACGGACCGGTAATATATTTATATTAGTACTTATTGTCTAAACATAATATTATGTTTGCTTTCTAATTTATAATACCTATACATGACATGATAATAGATTCAAATTACTATTGACGAGTGTCGATTTTACCTATTTTCCCGTGTCCCCCTGCCGATCCTATATGGAATTTTCTACTTTTTTCTACGCGAAACAATTAAACGCCATTTGCATGAATTTGTATGACCTTTTTTGGAATTTGTATGTGACCCTCTCCCGAGTTGTAATCGAAAAAGCAATTTTGCCGTATCCCTGCCCCCCTTCATCGGAATTTTCTACTTTTTCCTACGCGAAACAAAATATTTTTCTTAACTATAAAACACCTGTATATAAGTGGTTACCTAAAACCTAAGACTTATAATAAAACTGGTTAGAAAAACCGTTTATATAGAAAACCTGGTTTTAATAACCAAAATCGAAACCGCAAAATTGGTTTTGATTTCCGTGTTCTCGTTTGTAACTAATTCTTTGATTGCCGTTTTTTAATATTTTAGTTGTTTTATAATATAATAATAATGTTTTAAAATATAAATCTTAATTATATATGTATAATGTATATAATATTATATTCCCCACGTGCTTATAGAAGTTTTTTTTAAATTTAACTTAATTTATTAATTTAAGCCATGTTAAATTAATATAGTATTTGTTAACTTTACTTTAACATAACTTTTAATTTAATTGAAAAAAAAAATACTTTACTAAATTACCTATATAAGTTAAAAACTATCATTTACTTGCCTAGCCGTGGATTTAGGTAATTCGTGTTTTATTATTTGCTTATAAGCTGATTTTAACAATATACATAATATAACGTGCATAACCTTCTTACTTGAAATACAACAATATCTATATTTAATTAGTAAAATACGTGATGTTTGTGTTGGAAAATTAAACGTTAATAAGATTGATTATAGTGTATTAAAATTAATATATTTATTCGTAAATAATATTTTTAGATTCTTGCTTTACAACATTGTGTATTTGTGTCTATTTTTATATCGATTAAATTAATGTTCGTTTCGGGATTATTTCATTTTGCTTATACCAGTCAATCGTATAACAACTATTTCCTGTAGTTTATACTATTTTAATATTGTGACTGTTTGAGCTATTTGTTTATACGGCCACATTAAAGAGCATTTTCAAAATGGTTGGAAGAAAACCTGCAATAGAGCCTCGTGAAGTTGTTGCGGCTGTAATGCAATTTAAAGAGAGGGTAATGATGAATGACGATGATGATAACAGAAAAGGTATTTTCTAATACATACCATAAATTAGTAATATTTGTAATTTTAGTGAAAAACATCGTCGTACGTGTACCAAATGATAATAATGAAGTTATATTGGAATCAGTGGCCCAATCCCCCTGGTCTCTGGACTCCCCCCCCCACATCTTGGACCATACCTATGATAGTCTATTATAAAAGATATTTTTTCTATTTATTTAATTTAGAATAGGTAATAAAATTCCACACAAATAATAATTGTATGATAGTTTTATGATACTTGATAGTAGGTACATATAGTGTGAAAAAGAAAAACGTTTCGTATCCTGTTGTCCAGACAAAAGTTATGCGGGACGCATTTTGTTCTGTTCTTCCCCTTACTGTTAATTTAAAAGATTTATTTTAAAATAAAATTGTTTTATTTTCGATATTTTTAAATGACATTATTCAATAGAATATTAGAATCTACATTAACTTTTTCAGTGGTATTTTTGGATTCTTGTTTTGACCATTTTAGAGGGTAGAAAATATAAAATTAATAATGTATAAATGTAATAATATTATTGTCAACGACGTAAAACGTAAGTAGTAGGTACCTACTTATAGTGAGTTCCACCTAATAAAAATATTATATTTTTATTTATATTATAGCCTATACACTTATATATTATTATTATTATTATTATTATTATTATATTATAGTTAGTTATTAAAATGTTATTGAGTTCATATTAAATTTACTAAAAAAAAATATTAAACAGTATTAAAAAATTAAGGAAAAACGGGAATTTTTTTCGCAAAATCGGTTTACCTCAAAATCGATTTTGGTTTTTGACTTCACTTTAAAACAAATGAACGTATATACATGACATTTTCACTGGTAGTTTATATTTGCATTTTCTATACACGATAACATTTTCAAAATATTTTGATTTGTATGGAACTGTTTAGGAACATTTCTAGTTTCCAATTTTATTAGCCTTTTTTTCTGTGAATGTTAATAAAACTTTATTTGTTTGGTAAAAAAGCTTGAAAATTTAATACAAGGCTCCTACTATATATTGTCACAATATTTTAAGATTAAAAATCCTTAGTCATAGTTTTTTTTATAAGCATTTAAAGTTCAAATCTTGACAAAATACGGAAAAATCACAAAAATTATCAAATTATTTTGAGTTGAGAATTCATAAAAATTTTTATTTTTAAATCTAAGATTTGAAAATGTAATACAAGATTACTCATAAGTTTATCTATGTTTATCAAAAAAAAAAATGTCTGTAAGAAAGTCAAATTAAATTTTTATGAGCGTTTGAAATTCAAATTTTTACAATATTGGATATTCACTCGATTTCTCATGTACCTAGCGGTTTTGTTATTTTATTGTTATTCAAAAACTAACCTCTGTAGGTAATGAAAATTTTACTGAATGTTTATATTTTCATTTTCTATGTACCTAAAAAATTTGAAAATATTTTGACTCTTTTTGAGCTGTTTACGGACATTGTCAGTTTTCAATTTTCTTAGTTTTTTTTTCTATAAATATCAATAAAATTTTATTTATTGGGTTAAAAAGCGTGAAAATTTAATGAAAGGCTCCTGATATATTGTTACAATAGCAGTGGAAAAATATTAAAAATACATAGGCACAATTTTTTTTTATAATCATTTAAAGTTCAAATTTTGACAACATTAATCAAATAAAAAGTTTAATAATTATTTTGGAGTTAAAAATATATAAAATGTTCAACTTTTATAGCTAAGGATTGAAAATTTAAAATAAGGTTCCACGAAAATAGGTGAATATTAAAATATATAAATTACTTTATTCACAATTATATCATCGAATATACTTAGTAATAACATAGGCTGACTGACCGTTTTCTTTCAGAATCGTTTTTCTTATACAATGCTATTATATCATTGAATTCAAATTTAACACCGTCTATTACAGTGACCCACTTGTAACCTACTGTACAGCAGAGAGACTTTTTTAAATATAATACTCCGTGTACCTATCAGCCACCCCTAAATACGTATCAAGCAATAAATCAGTGAAAAAGTATTACAATGAAGATGGCAACTATGATATCTTATTTAAAATCTATTCTAATTAATATTTTATAGTATTGCGGAATATTTGGAAAACCGGTACCGGACAACTTAATGAAAGGCCCTTATAGATTTTAATTGGGAGATTTGTTACCGACCGTATTTATGGAGTTCAATACTTAAATGTGTGTAATATGCACTATACGTGTCTCGTTATTTCGTAAATGAGTACGTAAGTGATGAAGTGATAATTTATTCATTTGTGTGTGTCGTACTACTCGAGTATGGAGCACTGACGTAGATCCCTCTCCTGCACGTGCTAACGCATGTGAACGAATATTGTTTTTTTGGTCTAAAAGTATCCTTTTTTTGTAAAACTAAATTATACAAAGATAGGTTATTGTTGGATCTACAATGTATTCCGATAGCTGGTCAGGGACTCTCGAACCACGGGTACAATCACAAAGTCGTTTTACGTTAATTTCGTAGATCCAATATCAAAGGCACATATCCAAAGGATTGAAAGTTTATGGCGGCCTCTGAGGCTAAAAATTGTGAAAAATATGTGTGGTACAACTCTAGATTTGCTTCATTGCTCCAGATCTTCATTAAAACCACTTTTACATCATCCCACTTATTACGAGAATAATTATTGTCTAAAATCTAAATATAATTGTAGAGTCACTAGAGTGGCAAAACACGGTAGAGCGCATACTGCAGTCGCAATGTTGGCGGTAGAGCGCATACGACAAGATAGCCGATATTCGATAACATTTAATTTAATAAATTCGTAATGGAGTTTACTTGAAATTAATTTTCTTTCATTTTAATTAACATTGTTGAATGCCTTGATTATTGACAATTTATGATTTTTAATATTCTATATTTTAAAAACAAATTTTCAAGAGCATATTACGCTAAGAAGTGTAAAATCTGTGTGTGATCAGGAATTTATACCCTAATGGCCTTATAACTGTAGTATTGTATATAACACTGTATTGTGTATAATATTTCAGTGCTACGTCGATTGGGTAGAGAGGGTCAACTTTCCGGAGATGTATGGTATGTACTTGTTGCGCAAAGAGGAAATGCAGTCGGAAAACGGCGGAGCGGACGATGTAAAGGAAATATTGCTATACCACGTGACCACCAAGTCCAGGGCCATGAAGTCGCTGAAGAGCGGACTCGACTGGCGCCTTACTCGGCGCTCCAGATACGGATGTGGAGTGTCATTTAGTGAAGACGCCGAGTACGCCGACAAATATGCGGACAGTTCAACCCGCCAAGGTATTATCATTTATCAACTGACTTACAGACTATTTACAGTGTCTACCGAATACCCTGGCTACCACTCAGAAATACTTCAGGGTTTACATCTAAGGGCCGATTTCACCAACACAGTTAATCACGATTAACGTTAACCGGAGTTTTAATCGGCCGATTTTGGCCGGTTAAATATCTGTTATCAGCCGATTAAGCGTTAACCGTAATTAACTGTGTTGGTGAAATCGGCCCTAAATCGTTCGTTGTCAAATATAGTTTGGATGTGTACTGTGTACAGAATTTGGTCTGGATTTAGGGACTGCTGAATGGAGATGGATTTATTCGCCTTACTAATAGTATATAACATATTATTTTCAATTCCGTGCCACTGTCAATTTTTTTTTTTTTGGTTGCCGTAACGAAGAGACTTAACCTTTTTAGTTTCTGAATGAAGTGATAAATGTATGTATTTGTTTTTCAATAATGTGTGATTTAGTGTGTGTTGCTGATGTGAGCAGCAAAAATGCCTTTGAGGGTGGTTTCTGGTAGCAAATTGGATCTGGTTGGAACTTTGAGGGTCAAAATTAAAAATTAACAAATTATCAGAAAATACTGAAAAAAAAAGTTTTTAAATCGATTTTTATTTTGTTTCTTAATAGTTAATACTTCAATGAACAGACTTTTTCAAATGGTTGGTTGATTATTTATTTCTGTTTAATGTCAAATAATAAATGTTTACTAATATTATGTATTTGTGGGACATTTTTGATCTTTTTTAAATTTTAAGTAATATTTAGTGCAATTCATATATTTTGGCTATATCTATGTGTGAGTTGTAATAAAACATCAATGTGCATTGTGGGTTTCCGAGTATCGTTGTAACGCCGTCGAATGCAACTCTTGCCCATTTCAACAGGTACATCGTGAAAAATGAAATATATTCTTGTTTGCATAACTAAGAAAACCACTAAAAGAGGTAGTAAATTAAACATAAGTCCTGAAGTACGATTTTTCGAGAAAAAAATGATTGAATATGAGCTTCTAGATAAATATGCTTTATTCTCTTTAGGAATCACTTTTTTGATTTAAAATCAGATGTGCAAAAAATAAATACAAATGTTAATGCTATTATTTCATGGGATTTTCGAAAAAAGTATCTTAATTTTAAGGTCCTTTAAAATTGAAAATTGACTTTCTAAAAAGCCTGGATGTTTTGTTAAAGAATTCATACATATTTTAAAAATTAAAATCGGACATTACGGATTATGTGTAGTTTACCACGGCTTATTGGTCTAAAATGTATGAAAATGTACATGTGCTTTGATAACCTTAATATAACATAAATAATTTATTAAATGTCCCTCCCCCTAGTAAAAAATCTAGCTCTGGTCATCCAGGTGCGAGCTCACTGTTCAAGTTAAGAAATGAAGTTGGCGGTGACCAATTTTCGTCTAGCCACAGTCAAGCAACACCCTTTGTCCCCCCTCCCCCCCACTCACTAGACAATTTATCTTTAACCTGCCGTGTAGTATTGCCACGCTCCTGCCCTTGAGTCGGCTGCCGACTACTTTTCTTAACTTGAACAGAGGACACCTATTACCTACAATAATGTTGTTGTTATGTTTTTTTCCATTCTCGTGACCGAATGCAGATAAACGAGTTATCATGATATGCTCCGTGCTCATGAAAGAAACATACGTGGTCAACCACAAATTGAACGAGGGAAACAATTTGATTGTACCACCCGGCACGGCCGACACAACAGTGAGCAGTAATGGTAATGTCTATGTCAAGTACAATGACTTTGACTTCTATCCCCTGCATTTGGTGCACTACTCCTATCAGTCAGATTATGATGACTACGATGAGTACTATGGCGGCGATGAGTATTATGGCGGCGATGAGTACTATAACAACAATGAGTACTATGACAACAATCAGTACTATGACAACAATCAGTACTATGACAACAATGAGTACTATGGTTACGATGATAATTATTATTATTGACCACATCCTTTAAAAAACTATGTCTTTGACGCTTACAATGGTTTTTATCGATATTGATATTATCTATCATACATACATCACATTTTTATTAAACACGTTAATAGGTGAAATCCAGGAAGTACTTATTTTTGTTATTGTTAATACATTCAATTGTTTTTTTTTCATTTAATATTTATTTGCAAATAAATGGACGAGAGAATTCCATCGAAATGATTCATGTTTTTCTATGATATACATAATAAAACGTTGACAATGTCTGTAACCTTCCGTGTAGTATTGCCATGCCCCTGCGCAGAAATAGCAACCAAAAGAAAAAAAATTCCATGTTTCAGACAAATCAAACTTTGCTTGAAGTTGGTTTTCAAATGCGATGACTTGTTACGGTTTTTGGGCGTTTTAAAACATTTACTTGAATGATTATTGAAAAGTAAATCACTTTTTTTCGTCTATTTACTACCTAAGTTCCCAGTTTGATGAAATTGGTCACAAAAAGTTGTTACAAATTGTTAATGAAGCTTTCTAGGAACAACACTCTAAGCCTATATCCTAATTAAAAAATAATATTCACACTATAAACTGAATTAATTCTTCACGTACCTCAGAAATTTAAATTAATGTTACCTAAATAAGACAATTCAATGATAAATTCAAATCTGGGTATTTATAAAAAATAATGGCCAAAGAAAAACAATCAGTACATATTTTTGAAAGTCAAAACTTTTCACATTTATTGTCAAACATAACATATTTTAAATAAAAATAGCATATTATCACATTTAAATTAAATTTTAATAAATCTATAAAAAAAAAAAAAATCAATAAATAATAATTTGAAACATTAAATACTGTCATGTAAAAATTAAGACTAATTAATAATTATGTAATAATATAATTAACAATAAAATAAATATTTAACAAATATTGGTATTAAAGAGATTCATATTTAAAATCTTATATTGGATATGTATGATTAACACAGGTGATGAGTTATATTAAACTTACTATATTAAATTATTAAAATAATTATAATACACTAATGACAACATTTTAGTCGTAAAATTTAAAGACTCGTGAATGAGTTAAATTAAATACTGACTAACAGGTAAAAAAAATCAACTGAGTTTCTAGACAGCAGTTTTTGGTCATGGATACAATGTTAGAAAATCAAAAACTAGTTTTAAGCCTTAGTAAATACTTAATATAACAATTTAAATTTCAATTAAATTTTAGGTACTGTATTGAAACATTAATGAAAATAATTGTTATTGATCCAAAATTAAAATATTAAATTTATATAATACTTGTTTTAATACTTGGTGTTGCCCGACAATAAATGAATCCAAGATGGGCAATCCACATGAATTAATATAGGTATTATAATTAGTTTTAAAATTTAAAAAAAGGTATTGATATGGGTACATTATTTTAAATATAAGTTTATAAATACAATTACTTAAAATGTATTTTAACATTCCAGTTATATAATCATATCAATGTGATATCCTTCAATATTATGATAATTGGTTAGGTTAGGACAAACAAGATTTAATTACAATATATTATAGCAGTTACTACACGTTGACTGCCATGTGACCGGCGGTGGTCACTTGATATGTATTATCGGTACGCTAAGCATATTTTTCAGTGTGACTCCAAATTTGTATATACTACTGTATTTGAAAAATATAAAAACAATATGTTTCTTACATTAAAATTTTTTTAAAGATTCCCGCTTTGCCATCAGGCTTTTTTCAGTGCATTATTGTAGTGCCATGAAAAAGTTAATAATATAAAACCACATTTATTTATGGTCACCGGCGGTCACATGGCAGTCAACGTGTTAGTTGAATGTATCAAACTTAACTCTAAGTTCAATTGTATGAGTGTTGTATATTAACAAGTGATATTACAGATAAAAATTCAAATTCTCTATTATTGTTATCGATTAATATCTTATATGAGTTATACATCAAATTATTATTGTGATAAATAAATTGAATGAATCTATACTCCAAGAAATATTTTTCAAAGTTAAGATATATTATGTAATTAGTGTAACAATTGAATAGTTATATAATATAATTATTTCTTAATATAAATGAGCAATAACAACAATAAATATATCAAAACTTTTAGCCTAAAGAATTTTTGGTACATTTTGCTTGGTTGTTAACAAGTAGGGAGTTAAATGATTGTTTTCCAATAGACATACGAATAGCAGTAGTTGATTTCAATAAAGCGCTTGATGTAAAACTTTCTGGTAACTTTGTTAAATATTGAGCGCACGTTATAGAATCCATTTGCATTAACTGAGACTCATTACTGCGTAAAATACCTACACATATTTTTAACAATTAACAATATAAATATATCTTATCTTATCTTTTATTTTCTAGATTAAGATTTTTTTTCAGTTTTCTCCAAATAAATTTGCTCATTAATAAAATTTGTCTTTAATATTATATTTAAAGCAATTGGTAAAATTATTAAAATTAAAATTATTACGTATACTTACCCAGTGCAGCTCTAAATAAGAATTGATCATTATCTCTTAAAAAATTGTCCCAAATAATAGATGCTAATTCTAAGTTCATTGATTTTGCAAAAACTGAATATATCCAATCAACCAGATACATTTCAGAAGTTAGACCGATGAGATTAAAATGCGTATTGAGTCTATTCAAATTATGTTTAAGTAGATCATTATATGTAGAAAAATAAGAAGTCATCTATAACAGTAATAATTACATTAATGGACAGATTTCAAATAATTATGGTTTTTATATCATACTAACCAAACGTTGGTTTACGGTGTAAAATGCATTCAAGCATGGAGATTCCATTAAATTAACTAGACAAACAAATGCTTCAAGTTCTTCCATATTTAAAAGTAAAATGGCAGCTATAAAACACATGCCCTGAATGTAACCAATATCAGGCCGTAGACAAACATAGGCACTAAGAATCCTTTTCAATACATCAAAGTATGGTCCACCCTAAAAAAAAAAAATATGGTTTAAACAAAAACTATATAACATTAACAGATTTTTATGGTAAAAACAGAATTTGTATGATGCATTTGTTAAACCACTTAAACCTAAGGTAGTATTCAGAGTAGAGGTACCACTTAATGGTGCTGAATTATGTATCAAGATGTGGATAAAAATGTACCAGATTTGCTAGAAGTCCTGAGAATACTATTAATAGTACAAGAACATATTATTTTCTTCAAAAAAAATTTTAGCTTACAGAATAATATTAGGGTAATCTTCAATATTAATTTGGTATTAAACATTAAACAGAAATTGTTTAAATTGTGTTAAATTACATTAATCATATTATTCAGGGATAAAAATATATTGTTTTAATCTAAGACCTGTATGCATACATAGTACATACATTGGTATTTGATGGACATTTTGGTTCTCATCATTTATTTTATAAATTGTCATGAATAAAAATTAATCAAAATATAAAACCATGTCCATCTTTACAGTGTTTGCACAATACACAGTACTCTTATAGTAAATTATAGCCAACTACTAAAATACAATGAATGAATATATTTTCATGTCTTTACTTTATTGTTAATGTTCAAAGCAATCTTAACTAGATTAGTGTGCGTTGCACAGTCTAAGACATTATACAACTGCATATCTAAATATTTGTAATTTAAAAAAAAATCATACTATTGCTTATCTGAGAATTGTATGCACATTCTATGAAATTATATTTGCAAAATGTTGCTTATCAAAATAAAATGTCTCAATGAATAGTTATTTACTTGTTGAAAAATCCCCAAATGAGGAAATGTACGAGTAATATCTAAATGAATATATTCTAGGCAATCCATGGTAGCTTCTGAGTCTTTAAATTTGTTGAATGAGTTCAAAACACAACTTTTATATAATTCTTCATTGATCAGCAAGTCATTGCCAATAGCTAAACACCAAACTTTACCTCGTACACTCGATGGCAAACCGTTCCACCAAAGATCACGACATCTCTTTGTCCGACACCTAATAAAAATTAACATATAAATAAATATGTATAATAAAAGAACATGTCTTATATTTAAATATACATTACATTTTATGCCAATTTGGAATTATTTCTTGAGTCCATATTTGTGTAACATTTGCTAATCGTTCTTCGTTTTTTAATTTTTGTTTTAAATGTTCTTTATGTTTTTTTGCTTTCTCAGACTCTGTAAAATTCAAATAATTAGTGTTATTTTTAAATAATAACTGCAACATAATATTTATGTTTAAAATTACCTTTTTTCTTTGCATTTTGTAAAATTTTCTCATACAGTCTTTTGTGTTCTAATTGCTCCTTAGGTAGTTTGGCAGGGATTTGAGTTGGTCTACAATTTAAAATTAGAGCTGTACTACCGGCTATTTTGTCTTCATTGTCAATTGTTCTAGTACTTATACGATCAAAAGATTTAACTTCAATATAGTTATTCTGAAACAAAATAATGATTGTTACCTAAATGTAAAATGTATGACCATTGCTTTATTTTACTTTTTGAATAGATTTTCCAATTGTTACTAAGCAGCATTCAGATGTTTTCCTAAACCAAATGGTACAACAAATAATATTAATTTATTACATTAATTTTAAATGTAACTTAAATAGTTTAAAATTGTATCAATAATGGTAGGTAAGTTACCCGAGATTTGGGCAAGTGGAATCAATTGATGTATCTATGTCGATTAGACACTCATTGGATTTTGTGATGCTGCCACTGCATGATGAAAACAACGCTGTTTCTGATTCCAATTCGTCGGGACCAGAGCCGAATATGGACGAACATGCTGTTCTGGAGCAACTACTGTCATCTGAATCGATTGTATAGCTGACATCTTCTGCAATAGTTTCTCGGTCACTGATTGACAAATCATCAAAGTAATAGGACAAACATCCATTGTCGAATGGACTAAGCGGTCCGGAATCGTTCATCAATGATGAATAATAATCGTTTATGTGACAGTATTACAATCAACGAACCAGTGGACATTCTGTTTTCTTCAATGCCAGCATGTTAAAATCGATATATAACGGAAATTTACAACAGATTAGTTTCTAAAACGGACGTCACCCACACGAACCACATACGTAGTGAAATAAAATACAATACGTATTAGTGTATTACTCAATTTACTATACGTTTATACATCACATCATCGACATTTGACTGTTTTATCACTTGTTGATGGTCAAAAACTAGAAAAATATCTCATCTTATCACATATTATCATTGTATTTGTCATAGTCGTAAAATTATTATTTACTTTCCAAAATTTGATAATGATTCCATATTATTATTCTGTGTTTAATTATTATATATCTATGGTTGCGAACAAAGAGTAAATAATAGACTTAGACCTGCCAAAGAGCTTGTACACCGACAGTGGATCTTTCCAATGTTATTATATTCTCTTTGATATCCTTGGACTTACGCATTGAAATATTTTGTTAGATCAAGATTGCGAACTTGCAGCTTAATGCATAGACCTATATATAAACTAGTTTATGTTATATATCTATGACCGGCTTAATGTTTTATTTGAGGCTTATTGCTAGACAATTTATTTTTATTGACCCATATTTTGCGATCCACTCGAGTATTTACCTAAATAGACTTACTTAAATCATAATAGTCTGTTCTATAGACGGCAGTATAAAACCAGATAACCTGTTCATGTTGGCTAGTAGGTAGCAGCGATCGTAATTTGTCATTTAGGTACTATACTAATTATTATTTAATATTTTAGTCCGTTGTTGTAGGACGTAGGTACTTCGTACAGTCGTACCTAACAAGGAAGTCTTGCACACGGCCAGTACAACTTACTACTTACTAGTTAGTAGTTACTTTATAGTATGCTGTACAACTGTACAAGTAACAACCCACCCAAATTTGCATGACTAAGTCATTGACTCATGATTGCAAAATACAGTATCACTAGTATCAGGATTCAGGGCTCTAAATTTTCTTTAAAAACTTAGATACACTTTAAAATTCTAAACATTAAAAAATACGTAGGTTTAATTATTCTTTTTAAAATAATTAGAAAATATCAATGAAAAATAAATAGTAGGTATATTGTGTGGCCACACACTATTTTTTGTCACGCTTCTGCATTCATCGATCGCGGCAAAGGTAATGCTGGCCTCTGGGATCTATGCAACAACTAGACTATAATTATACAATATTTCATGAAAGAAACGATTTGGTTTTGAGCGTCACGCATGGAGGTTATAGTATGATTATAAGATGTAACCAAAAGTGTATGTTTTTTTTAAAGACTGACGACCGTGGTATAGATTTCGGTGTCTGTTTGTGTATAGGCCATAGGGTATACCCAAGTGAAATGTGCGCGCAGCGCCGCAGCACTTTCTGCACTTTTGGGGATTTCCGCTTAACCGCCAGGCACTATTAGGGATTCCCACTTTACTGTCCGCTGAACGGAAAAAGGACGCTTCAACCGCTATCGAAAACCAAACTTTCGGTGCAGGTGTGACAAAAAATATTTTAAATGAATCTTTGTCAATGTGACATTTATTATTTTTCTGTAACAATTTTTACAGCTGACTTTAGTCTGTCACAACATGAAAATTCTTCGGAGGTTAATCACGGTCCGACGATCGACATCAACTGCAGATTATTGGAAAACAGTAAGACACTATTATAAGTTATTTTATTTTCACTTAATCAGTGGCGGTTTTCCCGGGGAGGCAAGGGAGGCAATGCCTCCCTTGAAAATTAGAGAATATACATGATTAATATTATTTAAATTATAAAATGTTGTGTGTTTATATTTTCAAATATAGACATTATTATAAAAGGGAAATAAATAAAATATATATTTAAGTTATGTATTGAAGGAACTATGGAGTGTACCTATCGTGATGCTCATAAGTCATAAGAGACTGGCCAGTGATCAGTTCCCGCGCGCAACTGGCGAATCGCGAATATAATATTAATATTATTATTATACCTACTGATATACTGTATTACTACATGTCTACATAGTACGGCTGCCCCTCCATGCGTCCCGTATCGGCGGCGGCTACCCACTTTCTCAGGAGGCAACTGCCGCCGCCGTTATCGATACGTTACATGTGTACACAAATGTACACACACAGATGCACATAAAATATGGGAATAGCGCATGCGCAATTCTCTGTGGAGACTGTACATAACCGTAGCCTCCGTCGGCAAACGTCACAGGCTGTGACTTGCAGCGCCTCAGTGGTTGACGATTAATCATTCTCTAGGTTTGGGAACAACTAGAATTTAGGCATTCAGGCATTCAGCATATTATTGTACAACTAATTATTATTATTCTTTAGTTCATAATATTGCACGTTATCACTAATAAGTTATTAATGTTATTATCAATAGCAATGGTATAATAAGTAATAACAATTTTTTATATGATTTAAATTGTATTATTTTATTTTCTGTGTGATAGGTACAGTACTACAGTGAGTGTGAGGGACAAATAAAGTAGTAAAGTACTATTAGAGTAATCAGTTTGTTCCATAAGTTGTTTTTAATTAATGAGTTTTGAGAATTGGGGGATTTGCGCTTACATGTCTAGAAGGGTATAATATTGTTGCCTCCTCAACAATTTTATGCCAGAACCGCCACTGCACTTAATAGGTTCACACAATAGCATTATACCTATCTATTAAATATATATATAATAAATACAATAAATATGTACGAAGTACACGAGTACAAGAGTACACCACTGTACATTACAAAGGCATTGAGAAAATGTGCAAATGTGATGGTATATGTGTATATTAAAAGTACAATATAAAGGCTTGAGCAAGAAGCCACCCAGAAACTTTAGGGGTAGTTGTCATGGTAGACCGAACTTAGTTTCTTCCAAGAACTAAGAAGTTTCAACAACAAACGAGTGAATAAAATAATTCAGAGCCTTTGCTATGAATGTCATAATTTACAGTTGTACATGATTTTAAGTTTTTAACTATATAATATAACTTTTAAACATAATCATAAGATATGCAAACACGTCGAAATCATTAGCTCGATATGATATATTATATAGCAGATATACCTATCTAGGTATATCAGATATTATATCTTCTTGAAGAATAAATTTAAAAAAAATAAAAATGAAAAATATATACGAAAGTTATTTAGTATAGATCATAAACATTTTGTAAATTCATATAGGGATTATGGATATGAATATATGATAATAGTTGTATAGTAGCTTTACCTACATTTAAATATGCCATAAAATTATCTCCAGACGACCAGACAGTAGAGACACCCCGTGGCCCACCTACGATTAATAATATTGCAATATATTGTATATAATTATAATAAGTTAAAATATAACCACTAATTAATATGTATTTTAGAGTACATTATTGCTTGCCACGCTATGTACTATGTAGTGGTTAATGGTTACATAATATAGGCTACAGAAATTGTATTTTGTCGCATAAACTTAAAATTCAGTATAAACGCATTAAAGACTAAAAAAGGGACGCCAGACAATAATACAATTCAGTTGCTGACTGGCTGTACTAGTGGTACTACTATTCCACAACACAGTGGGTCGCTAGCAAATATATCTATAATTTGGTATTTGTATACCTACTTGTTTTTTGTATAATGATATCTTTATAACTATCTTGATACCTATAAAATAATATGATAATATATTGGACGTTTTATACGGCTGGTGGCTGTTGCCCCCTTGCCCGTTACAAACTACACATAGATACCTATAGTACCTACTTAGTTTTGCCAGTATAGGTACATAATATTATTATATATGGATATTAATTATTAGTATTAAAATAGTTTATTTCTGGAAACGTAAAACGTTATTGTCTTATCTTAGATTTTATGTCATGTATAGCAATGCATTTAAAAAGTTTAATTAAATCCAAATCGAATTAAAAGACCATAGCCAATTTGACTGTTATAGCCCAGTCAAATTAAACGAAAAATATGCTTTAGCTCATTATTGCATAGGTAATAATGGGTATACGAATTTACTATCTATATTCCGATATTCGTATGATTGTTATGTACTTATTATACACTTGAATGCAATTTTGTAAGGTGATTACAATTATCGTATACCACTGCCGGCGAATAACGAAATAATATATTATGATTTATAAGTACTGTTCGTCTGTTCGTTAGCCAACGTGGTAGTTATTTTATATTTCAATAATTTAAATTTAAAAGAAAGTTTTTGCCACAAAACGTTTATATAATATATAATATATTATAATTATAATTATAATTTATAATTTATACTGTAAATTATGATTTACTTATATTTTTAAATGTTGGCGGGTTTTTTTTAACGGGAATATTAGAATTCCTACGACATGATGTTGGTAAAGTATTTTCACCGGTTTGCAGCTGCTGCTGATAAACAAGATTGTATTAATTTCATTGTCATTCTGTTGTCGTATCACTCGACAGTCGACACTCTGTTATCACGTGTGGGGTAGTAATATTTTAGTGGTCGGTTTATCACTTCATTTAATGTCATTAATCATTAACTCACTTCTTTCTCTTTGCATCGTTTTAATACATATTTAAGGCTTAAGCACATTTTTTAAAAACACTTTAAATTTATTAAGTATAAAACACATATTTACAAAAATTACACAATGTTGATCAAAGTCAAAACTCTAACAGGAAAAGAGGCAAGTTGTACAATTAATTTATTCCCATTGCTATATTATTGTTTGTACTTTGTTATATGTTTTTAATTTTTCATTGTAGATCGAAATCGATATAGAACCTACAGATAGAGTTGAAAGAATTAAAGAAAGAGTTGAAGAAAAAGAGGGCATTCCACCTCAGCAACAGAGATTGATTTTTTCGGGAAAACAAATGTAAGAGCGATTTCTACATAAATCTATTTTAGCTGTACCTAATTAACCTTTTTGCTTTCAGGAATGATGAAAAGACTGCTCAAGATTACAAAGTTCAAGGAGGATCTGTATTACATTTGGTATTAGCATTAAGAGGAGGTATTTTCCAATCCGTTTAATAATGTGTAAAAACGATTATTACTCTGATTTCAAACTTTTTTTTTCAACTATTTTATTTATTTCCATTCATATTATGTAACTAAATTCAACAATAATAAATAAATGAAATATTTACTATAATGAACTAGCAAACATTTGTGTATTATATTTGACATAGATAATCTAACTAGGCCGGATGACCACGTTAGAACAAAAAAAGAAACATTTTCTCGTCAATATAATATTATCAAAAATGTGAAACCATATACCTATGTCCTATACTAATACAGGGCTTATTACTTCACGCCTTTGAGTATTTCTTTGGAAAGTGCATGATTAAAATATTCATAATAAGATTTGATACTTAAAATATATTATAATTTACCAATTTTGTTTCATTAGATTTTAATTTAAATGTATGCTTATATTGTTACTTTGAACTTTGAAACAAATAGATTAAAATGTAGTACTTTTTTTTTAACCAGATCTAAAATTCATGTAGATAATATTTAATTAATAATGATGAATTCGTTTATTTTACCAACATTTAAATTGTCAAGGTTTCTTAAGCATTTAAATATTTTCTTATTATTTGTTTATATAATTTTGCTCCATTAGTGGTAAATTATTGCATTACTGCAGTTTTAGTATTTCCCATGGTTTTTTTTTTATTGGTTATTTATTAATTATCCATATCATATTTATTTACTAGATTTCTAATTAAGTGTAAATGTTAGTTATCTCTAACATTAAAATATTTCACTGATTTTAAGACTTGTTTATAAACAAGTGTACAACAATGTATTATACATGTGATTTAATGTATCAATTATTTTAATTTATAGCTATTGGTTTTTCTGCCAAAAAGTAACCCGTTGTATTATAAATAAAAACAGTGTAAATAGTGTTAGGCCAACCAGTATTAAACGGGCAGCCAGGTAATTGCAGTGATCATGCAGTTGATTTTTTTTTCACTGCATTGGATGGTGCCTGGCCTTAGTGTATTCATTTATAATATTATGGTTACATCTTGTGATGTGCAAATAAAATATAATAAATGTATCAATCCTTTGTGTTGATTGTGCTGAACGGAAAATTGAAATCTTCTCTATAAAAAGTGATTTATTTTGTTTACAGCTTAATTATGTTAACCATATATATTTAATAACGGATATGAGTTATAACTAATAAATTGAACTGTCTTAATATATTATTTTATAAGTAGGTAGTATATTTTTATTAATTTTATTAATTTATTTACATGATGAACATTATAATATTTATTTTATATATATACATGTACCATAGATTGTAGAGGTAGTTAATGTTGTGTACCTATTTTTATACATCTCTTTAGGACAACACTAATGAAATAGAGGAACACTATGACGTGTTAACATTTTGAAAAATTCTAAAAAATGTATATTAGAACAATTAGTTGATCAAAGTGAATTGAAAACTGTAAAGTCTTGTTTAGGTTGTTCAGGGCGAGAAGCCTAAAAGTTTAAAACTCAGTATACATATTTTTATACTAACTTATTTTTAAAAACTAACTAATTACTTATCAATAAAAATTATAACTAAATAAAAAAAATAATTTTATTTATGTAGGTAATACATTTTCAGTTCAAAGTATATTCTTATTATAGGTAACCTACAGTTACTTAAAGTTATAATTTTTATAAAAAAATGAAATATAAAATTAAACATCCAATAAAATTTAGTCCAAGCATAATAAATTGTTTACAAATTAAAAATACAAACAAAGTTACGTATTTATGTGCATGATGAATCTTTGGTATGAATTCAAAATTATATAATATTTCAATAATCAATATACATTTGATTTATACATTAATAAATTATTATTAATATTTTTAAATTGCATAGACTAGTATAAGAAACATTTTAAAAGTGTATATTAATTTTAAAATTTTGAATAGGATAATGATTAATTTTACATTTGTACTGGCCTAATTCTATCAAATTCATAGTAATACTACTTACAATATTATACATAAAACAAACTAATTGTTAACTTATTAAATATTTATTGATTGTACTTTTATTATAACTGGTGAAAATATGGTTAAATGTTAAAATATTTGTTGCTGTGATTGAAGTTATGATTATTATTTGTGATCAAACTTGTTAACTCCGTATAACAATGCTTGATTACTGGAAATTGTCTTCTGGGAGGCTTTTTATTGTTATCTGGTATTGTACAGTCTGTTGTTATTAACTTTTTGCTTTTATATCGCCGATTTTGAAACCAAATTTTTACTTGTGTTGGAGTCAACCTCAGTCTTAATGCCATTGCTTCTCGCTCTGTAGCAGATAAATAACGCTGTTGATTGAACCGGTGTTCCAATTCTGATATTACATCCTAAAGAAATAATCAAATAAAAATATTATAATATAATCATTATATATTATTATATAATTAATTATACATTATACCCAAGTATAAAAATTGTAAGGTTTTTAAATTTACAGTAGGTACCTACTACCTATTATATATTTTTTCTTAGAATCCAAAAATGTATAAAAATAAAAAAACTTATGGTAATTATTAGCTTAATATTATTTAATTAAATTCACCCAAAAAATTAAATATATTAAAAATTGATGGTGTTTGTTTGAAACCAACAGTGACCATTTAGATTCTAGATTGTGGACCGTTTTATGCAATAATCTACAATTAACGATATTTACAAGTTTAAAGATATTAATGAAATAAAATAATATTATTTTTATACGAGTATTAAAAAATATATATGTTATTCGGTACCTATCTATTAAAATTTCTAAAATAATTTGTCATCAATTGGATTATTTAGTAAATATGGATGGTAGGTACCTACTAATGTGGTTAATCTGTTGACTGTTCAACTGTTGTATAGAAGGTAAGTGGTAACTAATAAATACCTATAATTAGTGGCTCAATTCCAATCTATACTTGGGACTGGTTGGGAGTGCTGAATCCACTTAATTTTTCAGTTAGTTTACAAAAGGCATAAATTATAAGGGTGGTAATCACCTCTCCCTCAAAATTGATCCTACGTACCTACCTTGTACCTATGCAGGTAGGTAGATTAATAATATATATACATGCGTGTAACTATACCTGTGAAAATAGTACTCTAGGTTTCCGTTTCGCTCTTTGTCTTTGGCTCGTTGATGATTTACTTATAGATTTCTTTTGGTCACATCTGTTTATTATTGGTTTATTATTTAAAGTTGATTCTATAACAAAAATAAAAAAATATTAGATTAATTAATATTTTTTAAGTAGGTAACCATGCAGTGGCGTATATAGGGGGGAGGCCCCCTAGGCCAGAGCCATAGGCGTGCGCACGGGGGGGGGGCCGGGTAGGCCGCGGCCACCCCTGCGGCCTCTGGCATTTTCTTTAATATATAATCTATACAATACTAGATAGTGGTAATATTACTAATATTTTGATTTCTTCGGTAACATGCAATTAATTTATAATTTCATTGAAGGCAGCTGTACTCGGCATGCAGTATTGGAAAAAATTGCTAACTTAACAAACACAAAGTTAAAAACTTTAAAATCAATTTCTACCACAAGGTGGGCTTGCCGCTCAGAAGCTATTAGTGCAGTAAAAGAAAATTATTCGTCAATATTAGCAGCAATTGAAGAAATTATTGATAATACAAAACAATCAGATGTTCGAGCAAAAGGCAAGGGAATTCTCCATCATATGAAAACATTTGAATTTGTCTTTGCCATGTTGATGTTAGATCCTATTCTTTCTTCAATATTAAAAACAAGTGTTTTTTTACAGTCACCCAACATAAACTTATTAACTGCTGTAGAAATCGTTGAGTCATTAAAAAAATTACTTGTTTCTATGAGAAATACTGAAGACGATTTCACAGATATTTATCATAAAACCATTCAAATGTGTAAAAATTATGATATTGAAATTCCACAACTGAAAAAAAGAAAAGTGTCAACCAAAATTGACTGCTTGAGTAGTACACAGCACTATATGTCTTCAAAAGAAGAAGAAATGAAGGTTTCTGTATACTATTCAACATTGGACCATATGATTAGTGGAATTAATATTAGATTTAACCAAGAAACAATGAATATGATTCAAAGCATTGGAAATTTATTAGTTTTAAATATAAATAGCAACGACATTTCAGTCTTGTCCACAGCATTTGATTTAAATTCTGATATGTTGAAAACAGAAATTAATCTTCTTAAACATACAGATAATATACCGAAAGGCGAGAAGAATAAATGTGGTGATTGGATAAATTGGCTGACACAATCCAACTGTGGAAGGGAAACTATATTTTGTAATGTTATTAAAGCATTGAAAACATTTATGATTATACGAGCGTTCATTTTCTAAACTTAGTATTGTGAAAACCAAGCTACGCAGCACCATGACACAGGATTCATTGAGCAAGAACTTGCTTATAATATAAAAATTGATGATGTAATTGATACATTCAAAAACCTTACTCCCGTGGACAGAAGGATGGAGTTGTAAATAGCTATGTAAATAAGGATCTTATGTATAAATTGTGTGTGATTTTTTTATTATACTATATTTTGTAATAATAAATAATAATTTATAATAATATTTAATGATTATACTAGTGTCTAGTAGTCATTAGTACATGAATATTTGGTTCAGAAATTTTGAAGAGGCCCCCCCTGCGGACAAAGTCTGCGCACGCCTATGGCCAGAGCCCATAGTGAAATTGCAGGTACAATTAAACCATTTTATGTATATATACACTGTTTACAGTTTTTCACCATGATTAATTTAGCCGGTTGATTAAAATCGTTTTGAGGAATCAACAAGGAAATTTTAGATTGTCAGGACTTGCTTTGATGACTTTTATGTGTTAAATTCACAATAAGATAACATTAAAATATATATTATGTATAGACGAAATTATCTATATTTTTTAAAAAAGAATTAAAAATGAATTTCACATAATAATTATAAAATTTAATTTGCTCAATTTTTATTAG